CACTTGGATTCTCACCAACAGGGTTTAAAGCTGGTGTTAAACTGACGCTGGAAGCTGAAGATGGTTCCAGACACCGGTAAAATCACACTATCTTTTCTTCCTTCCATTCATCATCTATTTAATCAAAGTAGTAACAGTCTACTTTCTTTAGTAGCTCCTGAAAATGGTGCTAATATAAGGTATTGTAGTGTTTCTATGTTGTGCCTGTTTTGACTCAACACACAGATTAAGAAAGTAAAAATCGGTCAGTTGAAATTAATGCGGAGAAAAGAAAAATGATTTGAATCACATAATGCTTGTTATAACTGCACAAATGCATAAGAAATTGATACGGATAAAGAAAAGAGCACGCACAACATAATGGATTTTGAGAGAAACAAGAAAAGAGAAATATGAATTTCATTGTAAAATATTTTTTATAAAGTGATTTTATTGTAGTGCCCGTAGTGGTTAATGTGAAGGAGATAAAATTATACTACGATTGAAAAGATGTATAGATATTTAGACATGAAAAGATTAGACCATAGTGGTTTTTTAGATTAGCCCAAATTTGAACCAAGAGTCTAATTTGGTCCTTTGTTTTTTGTAAAAATCTAGACCGGCACTAGACTAGGTGATCTTTTCCGAAGCATTGGAGTATAATTTTTATACGAATATATTTATACTTTAATATTTAATATTTATATAAATATGTTTATCCTATCAATATAGAGGATAAGATTTGCATTTTTTTTACAAATTTACAAACAAGTGATAACAAAATAAAAATTCTCAAATATACGAAACATATAAATTAAAATTAATCTTTTGGAGAAAAGACTAAAATTGAGTAAAACATAGAGAAAAACTAAAATAGGATCTTCATCATGTTTTTATCCCTAAAATAAGATCTATAATGTTGATAATACCAACATATAATTCCAAAAAAATATTATAATCTCCTAGTCATTGTTCATATAGTCACAGTTCACTTATAAAAGAGTGATGCCGATAAAAAAAGTGTTCATTCACTAGTACAAGAAACTGTAGTTCACAATTACTGGTTGGCATCCAAGTCCCCAACTATAGTAATTGTTGTGTTGTTCGTTAAGTCAACAGGTCAACAACAGAATACATGCCATGGTCAATGTGAACTTATGTTTTTAGCCTCCATAAACAACATGACAAAAGATTAAAAAAGATTATTTGTGGAAAGATACTCATATATGAAGTACCATAAACGTAATATTTGGTAATAAATGACTAGATATGGAAAATCATAAGTTTTAAATGATCAATTATGAAACTTACTTAGAGTGAATTACCATAGTCTTTTATAATAGGGTATTTTCTTAAATCAGTCATCAATAAACAATAATTACCTACGAGATTTTATAATTGAGATTTATTTTCTTGGTAGTTCTTTGTAAAAATGTCAATCAAATGGCTATTAAGTGTTGTATATTTTTGTATTTTTCATAAAATAAATTATGAGTAAGTTTTGAAAATAATGTTTTATAATTAAATATTTTCCCAAACTGCCCCTTTGAGTTATAATTACAATATCACTTCAATTGTCAGAGGGCTATCATCCACAAAAATCTTAATGATAAAATACCATGTAAATAATTATTGATTATTATGGACAATGAAAATTTCTCAATTATAAATTAAAATATCATATTAGTAATTACTCCGTATTACTTATTCAGAGATTCATTTGTGAAAATGCCTTTTTCTTGATTGAGAATTCACTCAAATATCAATTAAGCTTCCCAACTTAACACTTTTTCCCGTATATATAAAACACAACAAAAAACTCATCATATATTCACCTTTATAACTAAAATAGCAAGCATTATTGCATACAACTCATCATTACTCAAATAGCAAGCATATTAGCCAGCATAAAACTCATCATATATTCAGCATTACTCACTTTTGCTTCGCCACATGTTTAATTTCCTTTAAGTGCGTTCCCTTGTGCACCATTTTGGCTTTTTCAATGAAGCACATTTTTTAAAAATTGGAGGCTTCTCAAATCTCAATGAAGCTCGACCCCAGCCAGAGGTTCTGCCTTTTGGACCTCTGAACTCGTTAAGAACTATTAAAATTCAATTGCAGAAATAGTTGTCGATACTAAAATCACCAACAAGACATGATGAACGAAACTCAGGTCAAGGTATTTTTATGCAAAGTGATAGTAATCTTGTCCTTATTGCTTATTCTAATTCTAATGGGAAAGTTGTCCACTCACATGACATTCAGTTGCTGAGTATTTTGTTCTTTTAGTACGATTACCTGTTTCTTGGCAAACTAAGAAACAAACCACTGTGTCTCGTTCTACAATAGAAGTCAAATACCGTGATATGGCTAATGCTTGTTCCAAAGTTCGATGTCTGCGCGGCTTGTTGCTGGCTTTGGCCGTTCCATCTCGACTTTTCTATTGTGATAACAAGTTTGTTTTAATTTATTTATCGCTATCAATTATCACGTGTTTCATGAACGGTTCAAGCATATTGATCTTGATTGCAGTATTGTCTTTAATGTATCAATGCAAGATCACAACTGAAAATGTTTCCTACAAGACTTCAAATTGCTGATTTGTTCACAAAAGCCTTATTATCTAGTCCCTTTTTTTAGTTTTTATTACTTAAGTTGAACATATATGATATTCATACTCAATCTGAGAAAATTGAAATTGTTGAGTGAATTATGTAAATCATTTTACTTTTCTTAAATCTAGCCTAATTAACCTACTCTAATATAACTTTTTACGCTATACTGACTTTGACATTTTCCAAATCATACTAATTTTAGTTGTCATTTCACTTTGGTCAAAAAATCAAAAAACAGAAAATGTTTTGTTGGACGAAGAAAGTATTAAATATGAGTATATTGCAAAAACTATTTCTTTATTTTTGTCCGAGTTGGAGTGTTTTGGAACAAAAACATTTGGAAACATAACACTTTTTATGGGAGTGAGTGTATATTATAGCACAGTTTTAAAAACCAGTGACCGAACCGGTTGAGGTAATGGTTCATTGATTGAATTAGTGGTTTAAACATTATATATACTCCTTCTATCCTAAAACTTTCTTCCCACTTCCCCTTTTTTTCCGTTCTAAAACTACCTTCCCATTAGAAAAGAAAAGATGACAAATGACATTAATACCTTTATGTATTTACACCAATTGTCTTCTAACTCTATATTTTGAATGATTGCAAAAAAAATTCAAAAAATCTTTTTTAAGGAGAGTAAAATTTGAAGTCAAAACCAAAAATTAAAAATGGGGAAAAGTCAAACTGGGAAGTGTTTTGTGGAAAGCAAAAAAATGAAAGAGGAAGGATTTTATGGAACGGAGGGAGTATATAAATAGGAAAATATTTTGATTTGGTATAGTGGTATCGCGTGTTATAAAACTCAAGCAAAAATATTTAATTTTACCGTAATGCAAGTATGCAACAACACATACTCCCTCCGTCTCATGAAACATGAGACATTTGCTTTTTAGGAGAGATTTAAAGGAGTGTATTTTGGTATTGAATTTCCAAAAATATCCTTTGATGTGATGGGTAAAAGTATGATTTGATGGATAGATTATTGGTAAAAAGGTATGATGTGATAGTTAGGGTATGAAAAAGTAAGGGGTAAAAGTGACTTTTTAATAGAAATGAGAAGTGTTTCATGGGACGAAGGGTATATAACTTGAATTGAATAAGATTCATTATTCTTCAAACCCCATACACGAATTTATTTTATTATTCTGAGAAGAATAATACTCCGTACTACTGTAACATCACATTAAAATCTTTGTATTAAAGCTCAAAATCATATATTTATCAGTATATATAAAAATTGATAATTTTCTGCCGCCTGTCTTATTATTAATTAATGCATGCGTATGAATCTAATTTCTTACGGCACAGCAACATTGAAAGGGACCACCGCGTGACCAGCATTTGCCACCACGTTTCCCAGCCTTGGAACAACTGATGATGCACTCTGCGTCAGTGCTACAAGGTGGCTGCGTTGGTGGGAGGCAGTCGTCGGGAAAAGGACCTAAAGACACATTCTTCTCTTCACCGTTCACCATTATTGGACCCCCTTTAAATACAATTAAAACAAAATTAATTAGGCATCTCAATGGGAAAAAAAGCTCAAGTATATAAAATAAAATCAGATCGAGATAATTACGTTATTACTCTATTTGTCCTACTGTATTGATCTTTTTTTTTAAGTCAAACCAGATAAATTTTGAGTTTCAATTAAACAAAAACTGTAATCTATATAAGTATAAAAATAATTTTATTATATTTACTTTATCGAAAACTTTCAAATTTTATTTCATTATTCAAAAATGCAATACAAATCAAGAGTAGTTAAAATTTATAATTTGTCTGATTTGATTCGAAAAAATCAAACTGAACACAAAGAGCAGAAGTACCATATACTAGAATTATCATCATAAACAAGCATAGCATAGGCGCAAAATTGGACCTTAGGCTTCCCTCAAAATCACCCATATTTTTAATATATCATAAATTTGATATTTGCACAATTCTATATATATATATATATATATATATATATATATATATATATATATATATATATATATATATATATATATATATATATATATATATATATATATATATA